CTCCCCCTCCCTCTCGCCCCTCATTCCTTGCCCCCGCACGTGAATCACTATACAGCTGGCAGCTACCCGGTATATTCAGCTATCACTGGCTTTGAAGCTTTGGTTTTTATGCGTTTTTGCATCTTTATGCAAATACAGATTGTCGAGAGATCATGTGTGTGTGTATGTATGTGTGTATGCGTGTGTATGTATGTGTTTTGTGTATATATGTATGTAGGTATGTGCATAAGTATATGTGTATGTATGTGTACGTATATATGTATGTGTACGTATGTGTGTATGTATGTATACATGTGTATGTGTGTATAGGTGTTCGTGTCACCCACATTCAATTCAGCAACCAGAAAAGCTAGAAAGCTGAAATTCACAAGCATATTTCGTGACTCCGTGTGTATGTGTTTGTATGTGTGTGTGCATGTATATGTCTATGTGTATGTATGTGTGTATGTGTGTGTGCATGTATATGTCTATGTGTATTTATGTGTGTATGTGTGTGTGCATGTATATGTGTGTGTGTATGCAATTATTCAAATTCTTGCCATCCACATTCAATTCAGCAATTGGAAAAGCTAGAAAGCTGAAATTCAGAAGGATATTCTTAGCCCACATGCCATCCAAACAGCTTAAAATCATCGTTCACGTACACCCGGATCTCATGTATGGACGCCTAAAAAAATTTATGCAAATTTTTCACTCCAGCAAAAGAGGGAGAATTACTCCACTGGGTATAGAGTGGTTTGGTTGGACGGGCTGTGCTGGAGCGTACGTGCTGAATTTTTGCTGGTGGCCCGAGTACGGCCACGAATATCGCTATTTCGTTGGCGCATCCACGTCCTGGTCGACCGCCCAAGTGATTGCTTCGCTTGCTGGCTTGCCAGATGGCCAGTGATGTTTTGTACTGTATAAGACATCACATGTTCATTGTTTTGGCGTACAGTTAGATACGACTTCATGGACCGAAACATTCCTGTTTAGCCGATTAATTGTAGCATCAGGAGAGTTGCTACAGGTAGCGATTACGAGTGCTAAATGCACCAGAACATTAGAGCTGTTGAGCTAAGACGTATATAACTTAATGGACCGAAATGTCTTAATTTTCTCGTGCTTATTTTTCCTACACCAGCCATATTTCTACATCCTTCATTACATAATTCGTTCTATTCTTGCCCTGTTTAAGTTTTTCATATTACTTGTATGCTACAATCATGCTATAATCAGCGTAGAAAATACCGACGACTTCATGGACCGAAACATTCCTGTTTAATTGATTAATTGTAGCATCAGGAGAGTGTTGCTACAGGGAGCGATTACCAGTGCTAGATGCACCAGAGCATTAAAGCTCTTGAGCTAAGGCGTATATGACTTAATGGACCGAAACGTCTTAATTTTCTCGTACTTATTTTTCCTGTACCAGCAATATTTCCACATCTTGCATTACATAGTTCGTTCTATTCTTGCCTTCTTTTTTAAGTTCTTCATATTACTTGTATGCTACAATCATGCTATAATCAGCTTAGAAAATATTGACGACTTCATGGACCGAAACATTCCTGTTGTTGTGAAATTACCAATTCCACAGGTCGTTAACACAGCTGCACTTGTTCCTTTTTTTAACCCCCGTTTTTTCCACACCTGTTTAGCTGATTAATTTTAGCAGAAGGGAAGTTGTTACAGGGGCAATTACGAGTGCTAGACTATATCAGAATGTTAGAAAATATATACGACTTCGTGGGCTGAAGCATTCCTGTTTAGCTGATTAGTTTTCCTTCGATTTTTTTCCGATTATAAAAACATTTCGTTTTTTTTTTTAACACTTCGTATGCTATTTTTATTTAATTTTTGAGACTGTACTAGAAAATTAGAAAATTTGTGCGATTTTATGAGCCAAAATATTCCTCTCTAGCCGATTATTTTCAACAGCAAGAGAGTTGCTAGAGGGGGTGATTACGAGTGCTAGACTATATCAGAATATTTAGGAAATACATACGGACCGAAACATTCCTGTCTAGCTGATTAATTTTCTTTCGATTTTTTTCCGATTATAAAAACATTTCGTTTTTTTTTTTTAAACTTCGTATGCTACTTTTATTTAATTTTTGAGACTGTGCGAGAAAATTAGAAAATTTATACGATTTCATGAGCCGAAATATTCCTGTTTAGCTGATTATTTTTAACAGCAGGAGAGTTGCTTCAGAGAGCGATTACGAGGGCTAGACTGTACCGAAATATTAGAAAATATATACGACTTCATGGACCGAAACATTCCTATTTAGCCAATTAATTTTTCTTCGATTTTTTTTTAATATAAAAAATGCTTTATTTATTTAAAAGAAAACCTTAATTTGCTTTTCCATTTAATTTTTGACAAATTACATTTATAAAACTTATTGGAAATGTGCCCCAAGAGAATAATTGGAGCGAAAACTTGTTAGGTGCGAAAAGCCACTTTTTCGGAGGCTCAGCTCCCCAATGATTGTTTAATTTTACCAATAAACCATAGAGGGACACATTGCTTATTGGGTATGAACTTTCAAAACATCAGAAACTCTTCTGGATCTTCTAGTGCCCAGAAAATGGCTGTTCTCTTAGTGATATTGTACTTCGAAACACACCGATTTCTTATTCTCTTGTTTTTTTAACTTACGTTTTTGACAAATGATTCGAGCGAAGGCAACA